CAGCAGGATCCACCTGCAAGGCCCCCTGAGGTGTTTTTTTTTTAAAGCCTGCTTTCAAATGCGACATGGATTAAGTAGGAGGGGCCAGAGTGCGGTTGCTAGGCCTCCTGTTGTCTCTAGACAGGCATTTACATAGTGAGCCATTGTCCTGAAGCAGCGAGGCATCAGCATCAAAGAATCACAGGAACTCCGCATAAGGCATATTCTAGTCAGTCGTTAAGAATTATTTCTAGATATGCAGTGGAAAAATGGGGAAGCCAGGGGTTGGTACATGACCCAGAACTTCCTCCTTGGCAGTGGGGACTGTTAGAAAGAAGGGTGATCACAGTGGGTAGATGACATGCATGTTGTTGAATAAATACATTTAGATTTTTGCTGACTGGGAAAGCACATTTTGCCTGACGGGGCAGAAATTGGTCGGAGTGCCGGGTTACCTTCCAGTGTCACCCATCACTGAGCCCCAGGCTCTCAGCATTACTGTGTGTCTGCAGAGATCACTCAGCAGCTTCCCAAGTATCTCAACCTGGGGGGAGAGAGGCAAACTTATACCCATGAAGACTGAGGCTGTGGTTCAAAGTGGATAGGCAAAGCCTGGTGAAAACCCAGAAGCCAGAGGACTTGCCGAATAAGCCTTCCAACATTCAGGGAGAAGGAGCCCTGCACGGGCCCTTTATGCCTTCCTCCACGGCACACAGAACAAGAACTGCAAAGCTTATGCATTGCTCAGTGCGCACACTTTATACAGATCACGGAATACAACTTTTGTCTCTGGGTAAAATTTGGATTACCAGAGGTGGCTCGCACAGCCACAGATACCAGTAACAAAATACAGTTAGTAGGAGACTACTTGAGGAAAAACCTGTGGTTACATGTTTGTCTTCATAATCCCTGTGCTGTAGTTGGTTTTGGAGAGCTACACCACTTTGGGCCACCTGTGTTTCAGGTAACAGCATAATTTCCCCACTTATTGAAAGGACCTCTTCATCTTGGTCCATCTTCTGCACAAGGTGTATGCCACGCCAGAATGTATACCTTCTTAAAAGATGAGAGCAAGGTCAGACAACAGTGTCAAAAGGAACAAGTTAAACGCAAAGGGACTGGAAGGGTTCTAAGGTAGAGCATCAATGAGGGAAGAAAAGAAGGTCCACAGAAGCTCCTCCCCCAATACCCACTATCGCTGAAGCCTTTGGTGCACTTTGAAACTTTGATTTGCACCAGACACCACCCAATCCAATTAACTCTGCAACACACTGGGGGTGGGGGGGACGGACGACTAGTTCTCCCCATATACACCAGCTCGCCAGCTTAGATCAGGCAACAAATCCCTCTGGGTGATTCCGTCCATTCACCAAGTGTAGCTAACCTCCAGGAGAACTTGTTCCTTCAACTGTCATAGCTCCCAGATTCTGGAAAACTCTGTCAGCAGAAGCCCAGCTTACCTCTTCTCTCATTTCACAGAAATATTTGACTTCAAAAGGTAAATTGACTAACAGGATTGTTCTTCGTGTGAATTTCTTTGACTGGAATTCTATTTTAACAGGCTTTGGACTATTCTGAATATGTAAGATACACCCTTCTTTAAATCGACAAGTTTAGTTTTTCAAACTGAAGTCTGAGGGCTTCTCTACCGGGGTCTGAAACATCTTTTCCCCACCCACCCCTTTTTGTGCTGTACACCCAATTTGTAGAAGAGTTCCAGGGGATGTGAAAGCCTGCAGTTCTGATATTATGCTATCATTACAGGTCTATTAGTGAAACAAAGAAGTTCCTCTGTTTATTATTTTATTCCTTCAAGTGTCTCATACAGGCCAAACAGTTCCTTTCAGTTTCCCACACTACTTGGATCCCATGGAGGATTTCCCCTTCAGATCCCCACCCATGCACTTCCCAGAAGTCGCTTTTCCCTCAAGATCAGGCATTTCAGGAAGTATTACGGGCTACAGTAATTGGGGGGGGGGAGGCAAGGAAGTTCCGTTCCCCAGACTAAAATCCCTTATGTCAGCAGAAACCTGTGGATGACGCAAGCCAGACTCCCAATTTATTCCAGGAATACCTCAGTTTTGACGTACGTTTGTACCAAAGTGAAAAAAGCAGGCTTAACACACAGGTTACTGTTTCTCTTTAGAGCTGATGCTGAGACATTGATTTTTGAACATTCTGTAGCCATCACCTGTATTTTTATTTTATTTTTATTTACTTTATATTCTGCCTTTCTCCCCAATGGGGACCCAGAGCCACTGACGTTGTTCTCCTTTCCTCCATTTTAACCTCCGTCTCTGTGCTTGGATCCCAGCCTCCTTTTTCACTTGTGAAGAGGTGGGGGGGGGGAGAGATGGTTTTCAGCAATCCTCCCCACCCGCTGAACTCCACTGCTGTTCCTGGAGGTACACTGACTCCCCGCCCCATGAGTTTCGGAGGCACAGCGGGCTGCAGTGGGAAAGGGAAATTTCCCCTTCCTGTAGCACAGCTCTGCTTACATTGGACAGGATCCACCCTTTTCTATCTGATAGGCTTAATATAAATTTGCTAATGGTTTTCTTTTTGAATCCGATATTTGTTCCCTCTCCTTGCTCCAATCGAGCCTACAGCAGAGATCTTGGCAGATAACCTCCAGTGTCCATAGCCTGCATAATAGTAAGAGGCAGTTAAAGCCACGCACACATGTTCCTTAATAAAGTTTATTGACTTATAACTATGCTTAGGAAAATACACTCAAGGGTTAATATGCAATTTAGTTTAACCTTACATTTTGGACAAAGGCTTGTACATAGTTTAGGTAAATAAAAAAACCCAGGACATGTGATCTGCTCTGATTTTACATCTATTACAAATGTATAAAAGCTCTTCATGCACTACAGTAGATAGAAAGCATGAAAAAAATTACCTTTGGTTTAAATTGAGAAAATAATACAAGTATTGCACTGTAAAAAGCTTCAAACATGGTGCAACCCAACATAAAAACATTTCAGTGCCAGCTTGCAAAATGTTCATTAGCTAGTGTGGTTTTCTTTTCAAAGGGGGGGGGAGTATATACACATGTGTGAAAGAAACCATTTTCTTAAGCTACCTGGATGCAATTAATATTGTATCTCAGCTTGTTAGCTACACAACCAAGATGCAATAAATCTATCTGAACCTGTTTACAATTTATCAGCAAAAATTAACATTGAAATCAACAGCATTATGAGTATTAACTGACCTGTCAGTTTGTTCTATTTAAAAAAAAAAGATTTTAAAGTTCCAGCCCTTGGGTCAATCAAGCCCCAAATAGCAGCAATATGAAGATGTGTTGCAAGTTCCTAGTTAATCTTCAGGTTACTTGTGGCATTCATTTTTAGTGCGTATTTCTACAAACACTGAAGTTCCACTTTGCCACACTGCCCAAAATGGTATACACAACGCAAGACACCACAGTATGCGTCAAGTTAGGATGGCGTGACAAGCGCTGGGGCACAGAGAAGCCCTTTAATATGGAAGAAGCTGGAAAGTTGTATCCAAAATTCCTGCAACAACCCAAATTGTTCGTTTTCAGAAGTATCTACTTTAGGCAGAAACACAAAAAGTTATCTACATTTTCGTACTAATTTGACGTAACCCCTCTCTCAGCCCTATCTGATGTTAAGTCAGGAACGACATTCCGTCTTTTACTGGTAGATCTTAAAAACTGCCCAGTGGGCACAATGAGCTCAATCTAAACAGAAAACATGGAAATTCCTAGCCGTTTTCACAAGTCAGTCACCACATCCAATGTATCTTGGGACACAGCCATCGCATCATGTGAAGATCTGTTTGCCTAATACTTGCCTGCACTCTCTTGCTCAAAAATACAACCTAACATATAGGCACTGTCTTCCACCATCTCTCCAAGGGTGAAATCTTGAGTCCTGATCATATGCCAGTAATGTACGCTGAACAACAGTAACAGCATTTTCATGTAATGTCAAGTCCACTAACGTCATGAACACTATATAGCCACATGTTTGCCTTCATCTTTCCAACCAACCTGGCTGAAAAAAGATTCATTAAAAATGTAGCTCGAGGCCATAAAGGCTTTCACAAAAATGATAACATCTCTTTAAAAAATAGGAGTTTCCAGCCACTGTCTAAACCTCTTACAAGACATGACCATATTTTACATCCAACAATAAAGCTATGTCTATAACTACTCTTGACTAACTGGTTAGGAAGATGCTTCAGCAATGTTTAATGGTTCAACATAAATATAGTTGCAACTTGATTCTCAGTTGACAATGATTGTCGCAGCCAAGTAAGTATGGAACATAAGCTATTCACACACAAAAATCTAATGTTATACAGTTTATTCTGCCCTAAAGGGATTCTTCTCCCTCAGATCTTTGGCCTCCCAATACAAGCTCCCTCCCCCCCCACAATACACACAAAAGTATCAGGTTCCTCTATTCAGTCAAGTTATGTTGAAATGCAACTACAAACGATGCCAGCAAAAGGGTGGTGGGGGGAAAACCGAAGTACAAAAACTAACGCAAGCTCAGCAGTCTCCGAGGGGTGGGGGGGATATTTTTGCAAAAGGACTTAAAATGTTTAATCATCATTTGGGGGCACAATCCGTTAAAAAGTTCTCCTGCACAACTTCTGATCAAATCAACTGGTTCATTTTAATGGGGATTACATGGGAGAACTTCTTAGTGGATCATGCCCTTTAGCAGCACGAGCTTCCATAGCTGCAGTTCTCTAGAGCTTCAGAGACTGCTTATGTCCACAGACTTCAAGTCAACAATAAGGACTTGGGGTGTACAGGGTGGTGGTACTGGAGGAGGAGTCTTGCTCAATTTTGCAGACAATCAGCTGATTTCTCTTTTGTTTACTCCAAAAAGATCGACCTTATTGAGAACAGACCTGTGGATTAAAATTACTTCTGACTTTTCTCCCAGTGGATGCAAGTCCAACACCCAAATATCATTTTTATTCCTCTTCGTGCCAACCATAAGTGGACAGGGGCAATTAATTTAATTAAAACTTGATTGAATAAGGAACAGGTATTTCTACATTGTCCCCATTTCAAGGTTTGTTGCTTACCAGTTTGTTTATTTTTCTGACACATGGAATTTTACACAAATGCAATAATTTGTCTTAATCGAGCAGACAGACTGCCAGGAAACATGTACAAACAGCTCGTTTGGGACGAAATCCTTTTTTCACCCGACATAATCTACTGGGGAGCTCCTTCGTGTGAACCCCGAGGAGGTGGCCAAGAGCACAGGAACAAGCGCTACCAAGCTCTGGGTGCAGCTCCCATCCAGTTCAATGACACGTATGTAGGAGCACTTCTCAGAGAAAAGCACACTGTGCAATTGCCTCCAAAGGTAGGCAATTACAGCTACTGTGGCAGAGCCCAAAATCTTTACAAACATAACAAGCAATAAGAGAACCATTAAATTTGCGGTCAAGAAAGGCAGAGCACTGACCATGATAAGCAACAAACCTCAAAATATCAGCATTAAAGAAACCCATTAACAAAACCAAACATGCATATATAAAAGAGTTCATATAAAACACAAATACTAAACTAAAGGCTTAAACTGCATAGGTAAAAAGAACAAAAAATTATGTGCAATTTTTTTCCTCTCTTAAAGCACAAAAGGAAACAATCACTTTGTGTTAAAAGTAATATTTACCAAAGATGGATTCACCAATCAACTAGATGGAAAGATTACTTCAACATTTTGGCTTGCTGATCATGATTAGGGGACCTGAAATGTACATGCAACTTAAAAATATGACCAAATGATTACTGCTAGCCAACGTTTTTCCCAAAGTGCCATTTTTACAACAAGTCACCGAATTTTTTTGCAGATCAGCAAATGAGTTCTTTAAGCACTCATCACACCAACAGGTTAAGGTAAACTAAAATTAAGACAGATTAAAGTATCAGAGCAATAACCTTTCCGTTTCTGTTCATTAAGCACTGAGGGCTTGTGCATTTGTCCAGGGACCTATTAACCTGGGATGAGTCTTAGATATCTGTGACTCAAAGCCACACCCCTTTATGGAAAATGTGGTGACCCTGCCTGTGCTTTGTTTCTATGAATACTGTATCTTCTTAATCGCCTGCCTACATAAAGACCCCATTCACACACAGCTGAGTATTCTAAATTTCAGAACCACATGGGGAGGCGCCAACCACGTGAATTTCCAAATAGGTGAGGAAGGCCCGCATAATTGGCCTTACTTTTGTAGTTCTGCTGCTCACACATACGCACACACAGGGTGCATGGCACATAGAATGAGACCACATGGAAGAAGCTTGCACACTGTGGTAGGTCTCTAAGTGAAGTCAAATGAAAGGGGGGGAAGGAGAGCTTGGACTTGATGCTCAGAGAATGTCACAGACAAATAGATGTCGTAATTCAAGTTCACTTTTCACCATTAGCAGGGACAGGGATGGGAGAGAACATATGCCCACGTCTCTGATCAGGTTGATATTTCTGCTGGGAATGAAATAACTGAACAGGTCCAGCCCACTGAGAACGTCTCCTGCACAAGTCCATGGAAACATACAGAATAATACAGGCTCACAGCATCACTCTCAGAAACTCTCATTTGTTTCTTCTGAGCTTGTGCAGGACACTCAAAGTGGATTGTGCCCCAAGTCCACCTGAAACCAACTACTTATGGAGAGTTCTGGTGGAAATTCTCAGAAATACTCAAATGATTCCAGAGATGTATCCAGGAGATTGCGCAGACTTAACAAGCCATGGCGTTACATACCCTACTTGACCTCTCTACACAAAGAGATACAAATAGTTCATTAATTCAACATGTCATCAAAGGTCAGGAAAAACACAACCAACAAACGTTAAAAGCATATAAGCCAACAGAGCTTAAGCAAAGATTCTACAAGAACTGTACCAAAGCTCTAGATCTTACAGAGGAAGAAATCACTGTCGTTAAACAGCAGTTTGGTTAATCTTGCCCCTTTGTTGCCTTCTCAAGATAGTACACGTTTACCAAATGTCGGTTCAGGTGCTTACTGTATTCACTTTCTTTGTTAAAAGAACGATCACAAAATATACACACATAGTTCTCCTTTACAGCCTCAGCTTCTGCCACTTCTTGAGATGGCTTCCGATTGGTTTCCTCCGGCACTGACCGAGCACCATTTAATCCAGAATCATCACTTCTTTCCGATATGTTGTCGCTTATATCACTGCCGTCGTGACTGTGGATGCCCTCATCCTCCTCCATTTCCTGACTTTCGTTCACTGTGATGCCACTAGGCAATGCTGTAGCCAGATCTGCTTTCATGCTCTGCTCGGGTTTTTCTGGCAACTGTGAAGATGGCGTTCCTTCTGGGTCTTCAGCCTGCAGCTCTTTTGTAGAACTGTCACCTGGATGTGGAGCTGTTACAGTTTCTGTTTCACAGATTTCCATCGGCTGAGTTGCTGGAGCCAAATCTGAATCGGCTACCATTTCCACCTCACAACTGTGTGTGGTCTGAATCTCTTGGGCCAAATCTGGTAAAGTGTCTTTTAGCACATCAGTCTCCTTTTCCAAGGCAGTATCAGAAAAGGCCTCAGAGCTGGCTTCAGGAATGAGAGGTAGTTCTGTTTCAACTTCGCTCCGAGAAGCTTCTGCAGCCTCTTCTGCCAGCATGGGCATTTCTTGGTCTTTCACCCCTAACTCCATGGTTTCAACCACATGCTGTGCAGGCTGTGGCCCTTCAGCCTGCAGTTCTTGATCCTGTGGCTCTTGATACTGCAGAGTCTCCCTCAGGACAAGCCCCTGGTTCTCTCCATCCTTTGGAGCATCAATGACAACTCCCTGGTTCTCTCCATCCTTTGGAGCATCAATGACAACTCCCTGGTTCCCTCCGTCCTTTGGAGCATCAATGACAACTCCCTGGTTCTCTCCGTTCTTTGGAGCATCAATGACAACTCCCTGGTTCTCTCCGTTCTTTGGAGCATCGATGACAACTCCCTGGTTCTCTCCGTCCTTTGGAACATCAGTGAGTGGTGGTCCACTGCAAGGATCATCAGCTGCCTTACTTTCTCCCTCCTGTGTAACAGGAGATTCTTCAGAGACAGGAGCCTGATCTGGGACATTTTTGCCATCAAGAGTTTTGTTGCTTTTACTAGACTTACTCTTCTGGGATTTCTTTTTCTTGTTTTTCTTATGGCAAGAATTTTGCTTTCTGGCTACCTCCGATTTGCTTGCAACCTTTTGAGATTCCTGACATTTGGAGGACTTTTTCTCTGTTTTCTTCTTCTTTTTTGCTATTACATCGGTATCTGGTACAGGATCTTTTTTCAAAGTCAAGGCATCAGCTTTTCTTTTTGACTTCTTTGTTTTACTAGATTTCTCGGTCACTTTGTCAGGTTTCACAGCCTCCTTTTCAGCCACTGTCTTGCGACTTCGGGTGGTCACCTGGCCCGTACCAACACTGCTAGTTGGTTTCTTCTCTTTAGACGAGTTCTCCTTCTTCTCTTCTTTTACAACTTTCTCACTCTTTTTTTCAGTAGACTCCTTCTTTGTTTTCTCTTGTCTCCCTTTATTATCATTACCATCATTTTCTGCAGTGTTCGCTTCACTCTTTTTAGTCCGTAGTCTTACTTTTGAGACGTCCATTGAGATACCGCAGCAGTCAGTATGCCTAGACTTAATGTGATACTGCAGGTTACATTTCTTGGATGCTGCATACTCACAGACAGGACACAGGAACTGTCGCGGACTGACGTGGAGCTCAACGTGCTTCTTAAAGTTGCTTCGGTCAGCTGTTTTGTACTCGCAGTGGGGGCAGGTCAGTGGTTTGGGTCCATCGTGAACCTGCCTCGCATGCCGAGTCACTTCATGCTGGTTTGATGCCACATACCTGCACTGTTCACATTTAAACGGCTTCTCACCTGAGGCAAGGAAGAGGAACAATTACCCATAATTTAATCACGAACAGCAACTTTACAGCAACACATTTACAGATTGGTTCATGCTCTTATTTTATTGAATTTTAAAAAATGATTTAACATTAACACATTCACAAAAAGACAAGCAACAAAATATAAAAAACAGAAGAGAACAAAAACAAACATGCAAGCAATAACTAAGCCACGTATGCTGGTCTATGATCAATACATACCAGGAGAGATCACTCTATAGTAATATTAGCAATTCGAATCCATACCAAACTGGTCCATTGAAGGCAGTGTAGAAAAATGAAAATTAGATATGAATAGTCTTACACAAACATTACACCACACATCTCACAATCTACTGTATTCTTCCAGAGTAAAAAAAAAGTAATATTTCTTTTGAGTGACCAAAAAGCCCCTCCACACATTTTATACACAGTTCCAGGTGTTCGGTGACTCGTACTTTAACATTCACATCTAGAAGGCAGGTATATACCAGCATTAAAAACCATCAGTCCTTCATGTAATTCACTTGATCTACGCTTCAAAATGCTTGCAAAATTATCAAACTGACACACCTCTGCAAGCAGCAACTGGAAAACATTTCCACTATTAAAAAACATTTACTCTTATTCTACACGTTTCCCCACAAGCAGATTTCTCATCATTCAGCAAAATGTGACATAGCCTTTCCAGTCTCATCCAAAATAAATGCTCCTATCAATGAAATATGTTTGATTAGGCTACTGCCCAAGAGCTTTGCCTAAAGCAGGGAAGAGAATGCTCCAAGGGGTGTGTATTTCCCATTTTGAGAAGAAAAGCAGAAGACGTGTGCAGCATTTGCCACCCTAGCACAGGTTCCTGGGCAGGAAGAACTCCTATCAAATGAATTGGGCATCTTAGGATTCTCAGGGCCAGGTCATATACTATGATGCACATTTGTGACGTTTTATTTTTAAAGGATAAACGTAGTCATGGAGAGGGCTCAAATCAGATCGGGATCATAGCACTTGAGGAGTTACCTCACAGGCAGAAACATTCAAGTACTGTTTCCCCCCCCCCCTTGGGGAAAACAGAAGGGGCCAGGGCAGAACTGAAACTGGGGAAATGGCACTTGAGAAGGAGAAGTACTACAACCCCAACACAATTAAATTGTACTCTTTTTAAAATGGGTTTTGGTTTTAAATTTTAAAATTGGGGTTTTGTATTGTGTTAGCTGCCCTGATCCTTCAAAGTACAGTGATCTATAAATCTCTACCACCCAGAGGTAAACAGCACTCTGTTAACAATAACCTACATTAGAAAGATTTTTTTGCTATTAATACTCAGATAAAAGGTTGAAATAAATGTGAAGAAAACGTCTCTGCCTTACTTGAAGGTATGCGCGGGACTAAAAAATCTGACTCAACAGCAAAGCTGTGATTTTATGTTTAAACGAGGCTTTATGGCACAGGCTGGAATAAAAGAAGCTGGGGCTGGAAAAATTCAAGGGAGAAAGGATTAAGAGCACTCCTTTCCCGCCTGCAACTTCTCTGCTTCAAAGCACCCTCTTCCATAGATGCTCTGAAAAGGAGCAAAGGCCCCCCTGGATGCTTTATTACATACATACGGCTACAGCAACAAGCATAGTTTGCCACAGGATGCTGTAGATTTCTGGTAAGAAATGTCACCATCTCACTCTTAAGTATTCTCTTGTTAATTGATTTGTACCACAGTCCTCATTGCTCACATTTCAGCCACAGGTACTGTGAAATGGCATTACCCTATGATGACAGAATAACCAGGGTTCCAGGAGAAGGGCCACCCACTGGCTGTGCAAAGGCAAGACAAACTATCAAGTAAGCCTCTAAGCCGGTTCCACAGCCCAGGCTGCAAGGACTGGCAAAGAAACCAGGATCTGAGCTAAAGAGGATGTTGCCCCAGCAGCTACTGTCTTCACACCAGCTGCCTGCAGTTCTTCCAGGAGGCCTCTGGATAAGATGATCCCATGGGAACCTCTTAAATTCCCATGAAAATATGACTTAAGCACACAAATTGTGCTAATTGATTATTTTCAATTTCATGTGTTATCATAGTAAAGGCATTGTTTACCATTTTATGCTAGGACTGCTCCTTTTGTAATACAAACATGGCACTCTGTGAAGGCTATACAATAACGTCATAAGCAATTACAGATGTGGAGCCAACGACAACTTTGATTACTAATATGGTATACCATCCCACGCGAAAGAAATGAGAACTGTTTCTGTGGAACTGTAAAGGTTACACATCATACACGTTCAGAATGCTCTGTACAGAGGAATGGCTCATTCAGCATAAAAGATGCATGATGCGAGCATGAAAGCCATGACCAGGCCAAAATGCACAACATTATTTCTACCACTTTTACTACAACTCTGCTGTACCAAAACAACCAACAGTGATATGAGCTGAACACTAATAATCTGCATTATCTATTACACTTCTATCCCATCCCTCCTCCAAAGATCTCAGGGTGGCACCGCTTCCCTTCACCTCTTCCATTTTGTCTTCATAACGACCTTGTTATATGGTAGGATACAATCCTAAGTACACTTTTCCTAGCCCTCAGACTAACTTCTGAATTAGGAACTGAAAAGGTTAACAACAAACCAAGTTGAGGACCTATTGTTAAAATCAATATATATGGCTTAAATATTATCAAAAATACGTGTATTTATTGTTAAATAATTTAAAACATTTAGGGTCCCAACATTAGCCTCATTACAAATTAAAATACATGAAACACAAGTGGAAACCAGTGCGACAATTATGTGTTTCGGCCCTAAAAGGTCGCCTTCAGAGTTCAGGCATATTGTATAAATACAGGCTCATGATATAACTTGTAAGAACTATTAATAAATCAATACGGGACCAAAAAAAGGAAGGATTCTAGAAAAAGAAGAATAAAACTATCCAATTATTATCAAATTTTATCTTACATCAAATTCTTAAATTCATGAGGCCTCTTGTAGTGCATTTTTAAAAATTATCTCTCAATTTCTTTTGTTGGACTAATTCATTTCTCATAGTGGTTTAACCTTAACATCCAAATAACATTTTAATATTTTCAGGCATACAATAGAAACACTATTCAACACGCATGCCTTTGATTATGACATAAGGCTGCACTACAAAAGGCCTCACGTCTTTAAGCCTTGTGCCATTCTATCTGTTAGAAGTAATAAGTATTTCATATAGCATATTGTTTAAGAATTTGATATAACATTTGATCATTAATAATTGGATATTTTTATTCTTTTTCTAGAAACACCCTCCCCCTTTTTTGGTCCAGTATTGATTTGTTAATAGTTACAAGTTATATCATGAGCCTGTATGTATACAATATGCTTGACCTCTGAAGAAGGCCTTTTAGGGCCAAAACGCGTAGGGTCACATTGGTTTCCATTTGTGTTTCATGTATTTTAATTTGTAATGAGGCTAATGTTGGGTCAAAAATGTTTTTAGTTATTGAACAATAAATACATGTATTTTTGATAATATTTAAGCCATATATATTGTTTTCAACAATAGGCCTTCACCCTGACCTGGATAGCCGAGGCAAGCCCAATCTTGTCAGATCTCGGAAGCTAAGCCAGGCCGACCCTGGCAAGTATTTGGATGGGAGACCTTAAGAGAATACCAGGGCCAGGAGGCCAGAGGCAGGTTATCAAGTCACTTCTCTGAAAGTCATCTGTACCCCTATAGGAGTCACCAGAGGTCACCATGACTTCCAGGCACAAGCACACACACATTCACACACACACAGAGACAATGCAAAAATCCCCCAAAAAAGGCCCTCAACTCGGTTTGTTATTAACCTTTTTGGTTTTTGATTCCAATATTTGGGTTAAGCTTTCTTCCCCTCTTTGTTTCTTTCTAACCTCTGAATTAAACCTTCTTAGGATTGCTCCCTCAATAATATTATCTGGAGTTACTGCAACAGCATAATGCAGGACATAGTGCTCAACTTTTGATGCATTTGCCTTTCGTTCACCTGTCTTCCTTCTCTTGGTCAAAAACAGTCCTCCTGATATTACAAAACTGTAGCTTAATGAAGCAGCCATCACTTCAGTAGAGCAATCCAGAAAGCATGCCAGCTACCATGGTCTTATAGTAGTCTATTCTGTTAGCCAAGTGTGGTGTATTCAATCTGACAATGTATGTATGTGAACTCACTCATTGAATCACCATGTGAAGCTTTCATCCTGGGCTAGGATCCTAATCCTTCAATTGTCATTGGTAGCCCAGGAAGAGCCGACCAATCACCAACAGCCAGTTCCAAGAGCAGGAACGATTGTGATTGGACTTTATCCCTGCAACCTCATAGGTTGGTATTTGTATAGTAGGCATGGCTACATTAGCTGGGAGAGTTTAAAAGTGGAACAGCTTCAATGCTAAAGCTGTTCTGGCTATTCATGTTGATCTGTTTGGAGTTGAGTTACGAGTTGCTGAATAAAGTTGATATTTTGCTGAAATCACTCTCTGACTCTTTGTTAAGTAACTGACTTAACACCAAGACACACGTAAACACGTCAAAAGTGCTGCTTAGGTGGGTAATAAATCATCAGTGTCCTTCACCCAATTAGTAAATAGCCACTTCTTTGCATCACAGACCCTGCCAAGCTTTGTTACAGTGATTTTCCAACTAGACTAGATACTGTTCTAATTTAGTAATGATGTCCATCAGGATTGTTGGTGCATCTCCCAAAAATGCAACATGTCTAACTGTAGAAACTTCTTGCCAACCGATATACCCTTCATGGAACACGGACTAAGCTGTGAGGAACAAAATGTTGAAGCTTCACAGAGCAACGTCATGAGTGTGGCTTGTTCTCTGGACATCACCACCTTTCACAAACAATTCATGCTGCAATCGTTGCATGTGAGGGCCAGTTTCTAGCCATCTGTCTTCAGACCATGTTCTAATAATACTTAAGATTTCAATTTTTGTGTGACAGCCTCTGAGCAGAGTCACACACTTATCCATATCATGGTCCTCAGGCCCACAGAAGTAGATTTCATCAAATCAGGGAGCAGTGGCAGAAGAGAAACTAGAGACCTGGGAAGTATGCTATGATGATAACGTGGATGCTGTCCAGGACACATTTCATTTTAAATTATTGTTAATTAATTTCAGGACTTCAATGAATATGCATGACCAAATAGTAGAGAACCTGTTTCTACTAACTCTTGACAACAGAATGACTTCTTAATATGCTCATGCAGTTGATGAGATATGAAATTTTCCTTTTTAGTGAATTCAGTTTGGCAGCCATTTAAAAAAACAAATGGAAGTAACCCGGACTGATAATAGCTCCACATAGGGCTGCCAAATCGGACCGGGGGGGGGCGGGGAAACCCCCGCTTTGGAGGCCCGATTTCCGCCGCGGCGGAATCGGGCCCCGGAGAAAACCCCACCCCCGCGTGCACGTCACAGGGAAGTGACGTCATGACGCCGGGCACTCTGGGGGTGGGGCCACAGCCGTTTGAGGGGAAAACATAGAGTTTCCCCCTCAAATGGCTGTGGCCCCGCCCCAGCGGCGTCATGACGTCACTTCCCTGTGACGTGCATGCGGCGCGCGCACACGCTGGGAGCCGGGCTGGAGTCCCCCACCACAAGGGTAAGTGCCATTTGGCAACCCTAGCTCCACATCTGCAATGTTTCATAATGTCCAGATGAAGGTATCAGCCAATTTTATGCTCGTATCACTAAAAGAAGAATTCTTATACATATATGCACTACCAAGATATGACTAGCTGTATATACATACACAATACAGAACAGGGAAGAAAGAGAAAGGAACAGAAGGAGGGCAGAATCACTGTTAACAAACATCTGTTTCCTCCAGCTTCTGAGCCCCGCTTCTTAACCTCAGAGGTCTTCAGAAAGCATCACTGCCTAGTATCCACCAACTACTAGCAAAGGAAAACGAGCTTCCTTACAGACCCGAATGAGCCCACTCCCATGTCCCAGTGATTGGCAGTAACATTTTCTGCCAGGAAGGGAGGCAAAAGGGTTCAATCAGGAAAGATCAAAGATGAGGGGAGGAAATCTTTCAGTACAATCCTAAACACAGTTATGACTTTCTAAGCCCACTGACAATGGACTTAAAAGTGTGTGACATTGTTGAGGATTTCAATGTAAGAGATCCTGACACCATGTGGAAACTGCATTGTTTCTATTCCTGATATTAATCTACTTCCCATTTTCCCTGCTTCCCCCCCCTTGAGGCAATGGTACACTTTGTCAGTTCCACCATCATCTTATTGGTATTTCTGCTGTATTTGATTATTTTAACTTTTTAACTTTTAATTAAAATTATGTAAAGCTTTTTGATGTAAACTGCCCTGTTCTATGGGGGAGGGTAGTCTAAAAATTTAATAAATAAATAATTTATTATTGTAAGGATGTTTTGTATGGGGCACTGAGAACCATACATAAGTAAAAATTTCAGTGGCACACTGTGCTTTGTAGGGCTGCCAAGTTCCCCCGGGGGGTGGGGAAACCCCCGCCCCAGAGGCCCGTTCCCCGCCGCCGGAGGATCAGGCC